CTCCTGGAGCAGTCGAAACCCCCGCCTTTTGAAACAGCTGAGGGGCGGCGTTTGAGCTTCAAACCACCGCCCCTCAGTTGTTCCAAAAGGCAGGGGTTTGGGCTGCACCGGCAGAAGCCCTTCTCCCAGAGCAGCCCAAACCCACACCTTTTGGAACAGCTGAGGGGCAGGCATTTGGGCTGCTCCCGGAGAAGCGCTTCTCTGCTAGCAGCCCAAACGCCCGACGGTCAGCTGTTCTAAAAAGCGAGCCTTTGGGCTGCTCCCGGGGAAGTGCTTCCCCGTGAGCAGCGCAAAGCCCAGTTTTTTGGAACAGCTGACCAGCGGGGGCTTTGCCATGATCGTGGGGGAGCGCTCCCCCGCGATCATCGCAAAGGGAGTTGTCCCCATAGGGGCCATCGCAAAGCGATCGCTCTTGCAATGGACTTTAGTCCATCGTAATGCGATTTCATTGTTAAACGGAGCGATCGTTATGCGAGGCACCACTGTATTTATCATTAATCCAGAAATGTGCTACATAATCATGTGGAGCTTCCTGACTTGCCTTATTTTCCAGTCAGTGTTTGTTTGACAGTTTTGATGGATAGAGCACCCAAATACTGTGTTCCAAATTGGTTTGCTCTAAAATACTAACAATACTATCAACTCATATTTGCCAGAATAAATAATCACATGGCATTCAAAGTCCCAGTAGGGATAAGCATGCAAAAATGGTTATCTGTACATAAGTAAAAAGTGTGTGTCTGTGTTTGTATATTTAGTTAATGAAGAAACAGAGCGGCGGGAAGTAAATAAATTAACAGGAAATGAACAGAAGTAAACTTTCTTGAAGGTGTAGTCAGCCTTAAGCAGACAGCAATTTTAGACAATCACATGAGAGGTCCAGGTGATCTTTTCTTACAAGCAACACCCCTGTTTTTGTTATTTGCCAAGGCCCTTCATTATAGGGTGGTTACAACTTAGCTTTGCTCCTTTCTGTAAAGACTGGATTCTCTGTATCTGGTTCTTGTGGAGGGCCAAGATGATTGATTTATTTAGCTCTTATGTGGCAGAAAACAGGGTTTGCACCTGGGTGGCAAGGAGGCAGCAGCAGTACATGTATGAACCTGCACTCTGAACTGTGGTTAGTACTTTACTTTTCTCCTCATCTTCAGTTTAGTTATGAGAAATTTAATTTTAATTTTCCTGTTGATTCTTACTTCTCTGGGTGTACAGTAGTTTAACAGTTTGAATAGTATCATAGGCTGATAAGTAATGCTGACTTTAAAGTGTATGTTTAAGATAAAGGCCAGAAATGTTAATCTGAAAAATGGCAAGCTGCTCAAGAAGGTGAAATGATATCTCAGCCAGAAAATTATTATGTCCTCTGTCAGAAGCACAAATGTTGTCCAAAGACATTTCTGCTTTTCTTTGACAAATATAATTATCAAAAACCTGTATTTATAAAAATATTAAACAAAAAGGATGCTTGAGTGGATGATGTGCAGTGAAACATTGCCATGGTATTGAAAGCATTCCAGGTAGAATGAAGGTAAGATAAACTATGCTTCCTGCTCAAAGTTGCATTAGCCGTCTAAAAGGCCAGTTCTTTGTTTAGATTTTTAAGAGACAGAAGTGCTCCGGAAAATTAATTCTGTGCAGACCTGTAGGTTTTCCCTAACAAGACAAATAGTACTTCTCTTATGTTACTGTGATTTAAATTGGGGAAATGGCATGGAAGGGAAATGTTAACCTTTCCTGAAAATGCTTTCTCAAGCATTGTGGTCCTGATCCAATTTGAGGTTTCTTGTAGCTTTGAAAATTAGGGAACTGAAAGATATGATCATAGATCTCCTTTGCTGCATCTCGTTTGGCAGTAAAAGTATGAAGAAACTTTGTCTCTAAGTCATCTTTGCCTTGCTCTACATCTGGGGATCAATTTGAATGTAACTTACTCATATATTTCCATTCCTTTCTCCAAAGTATCTGGTATAATCATTAGGGCCGAACAGGCTGCTCTCATCATTTGTAAGTGGGAGATATGCTTTGAATGGGATGGCTGACCACATCACAGAAGGACTCGGGTTAGGCACTGATACTTATCCTGAGCTCTTGCCACCCGACTCCCTGACAGATAGGAGGTAACCAGCTCAGTCAGTCTTCCAATCTGACCCTCCTACTGTTAAATGCAGGTTGGGTCAGAATAAGCCTCAGTTTATTTATGAGTATTGAGGAGGAGGGTGCTGACCTGGCCTAAGATCTGAGATGTGAGTGGGTGCAGATGGAGGAGTAGCACTCTTCCAGCTGTGCTCATCCGGGTACTGTATTCTATTCAATGTCAGGGCAGATTGGAAGGTTAGGGTGGTCCCTATGGTCTATAGGGATTCTCTCTGTGTCAACAGGATCTCTGCGTTGTCGATTCCCATTGGTGTATGCAGGCAACCTCCTACATGAGCCAAAGCAGGGTGATCTCCACACATCTATGCCAAGCTGGAACTGTCTGATGTGGCCTTAGAGCTCATGGACTCCATAACATCCATGAGTCTATCCCAACATGTTATTGGTCCCAGGCATAGGGCAAGCCACACTCTAGATCTTATGTTTTCATTGGTACGTATGGGTATGATCTGAAGGTGGCAGATAATCACGTTTTGCCCCCTGTCATGGTTGGATCATTTTTTGCTGGAATGTTACCTGGCTTCAGTGACACTCTCCCCGCCCCCGCCCTCCGAGAGACTGGACCAGTTAAAATGGTCCACCCTCAGAGGCTTCTCAATCCTATGGGCTTTTGAGAGGCCTTCAGAGAATTTCCAGTGGACCCAGTCTGCAATCTTGTTGAAACTCAGGCCAGTAGGTGGTATACTGACGTGACCCAGGTCATTGATGAGATTGCTGCCAAATGCCCTCTCCACTCCAGAGCCCAACCCTTCCCCTGGCTTATGGAAGAGCTTCGGGCGGTGTCATTAGTTAGGCAGTGGCTAGAGAGGAGATGGAGGAGAGACCCATCAGATGTTAATTTTGTTGCAGTATGTAAGATGACCAGGAAATACTCAGATGCTTTTAAGCCGGCTAAAAGGGCTTTTAATATCAAGACTATCAGTGAGGTAGTAAACCAGCAGATGGAGCTTTACCAGGTTGTCTCACAGCCAAACTGGTCCTGGTCAGCAAAGGCCTCAATTTGGTGATTTCACTATTGAATATTTGGCAATTTTTTTTAGACCAGAAATTGAGGTCTCCTTTGACAGTTTAATGGATCAATCTGAAATTGTTTTTGCATCATTCCTCCAGTTCATTTGGATCCGTTTCAGCCAGTAACATCTATAGGTGTGGCCATTGCAAACCCACCACCTCAGTGCTTGATTCTTGCTTAGCTTGGCTCGTGAAAGTGGCTGATGGGGTTATTGTCAATCAGGCTTAAGCATTATAAGTACCTCATTGTGGGAAGACATTGTGCCCTCCTCTGTAAAAGACATCCCATCCTAAAACATTCCAACTTGGCAACAGACAATTTGAACAACTTTAGGTCTGTCACCAATATCCTCTTCATAAGCAAGCTGATAGTGGTTGCAGAACAGCCCCAGACATTCCCAGAGGAAGAAAATTGCGTGGACCCATTTCAGTCTGGGTTCAGGTCATGCCAAGGTACTGTGACATTACTGATCACATTGCAGGATGGCCTGCTTAAGGAAGCTGATGGAGGAGGAATGACTCTGTTGGTGCTCCTTGATCTTTCAGTGATCTTTGATACTGTCAACCACAGTATTCTCTTGGACATAGTGTTGGGTATTGGTGTTGGAGGACTAGCGCTTAGATGGTTCTGATCCTTTCTTAATGGCCCTGTCCCAAGAGTTCAGCTTGGTGAGGAATTGTTGGCCACTTGGACTCTAAATTGTGGGGTGCCACATTGGTTGTTTGTCTCTCCAATGCTGTTTAACATCTAGGTGAGGTTGCTGGGAGAGGTCATCCAGAGATTTGGAGTGTGTTTTCATCAATAAGCTGATGATGCACAACTCTGTCTCTCTTTTACATCTTCTGCAGTGGATGCTGTCTGGGTCTTGGAGCACTGCCTGACCTTTATTTTGGAATGGATGAAGGCTAATAGGCTGAAACTGAACCCAGAGAAGATAGAGGTCATGTTGTTGAGAGGTCTCGGGGAAAGGTTGGGGGTAGTCTCTCTAGGTTTAACCAACTTGGACTTGTTGCCTAGTCACACCCCTACCTGGATTTCAGATCCCTGACTACATTGGTCCATGTCCTGGGGATATCTAAGATTGATTACTGTAACACTCTGTAGATGGGGCTGCCCTTGAAGTTGGTGCAGAAATTGTAGCAGTGACCAAACTGGTCTCAGGTTTGAATAAGTTTGATCACATCTCACCAGTTGTAGTTCACCTCCACTGGCTCCCAGTTTTCTGTGCCAGGCTTAAGGTTTTAGTGCTAGTTTATGAAGCTCTTAACAGTTTGGAGCCCCACTATCTCTCAGAGAGTCTCTCCCTCAGATCATCAGCTTGTTCCATCTATTCATCAGAGGTCTTACTTTTCTGAGTTGCTACACCAAGGGAAGCTAAGAAAACAGTCACAGAAACCATTCTTTGTGGCCATGGCCCCTCCTTTATGGAATGGGTTCCCTGTGGTAATTTGTTAGACTGTCTTACTCTCACCTTTTAAGAGGATACTAAAGACATTTTTGTTTCAGGAAACACTTAGTGGCATCCTCCCGTAAATCTTTGTGTGTTCTCCCTAGAGTCTGCCATCATTTGGGGTTTTATTTGAAGTAGTTATTTATTTCATTAGTTTTTTTTTGTGGTGGAGGATGTTGTTTGCTTTGTCTTTGTAAACTGTTTAGAGTATTATCTTGCACTAAGTCAGCAGTATATAAATTCACAAAATAAATTTGGTTTGTTCATATTTTTAAATGCATTTTTGTTTTGCAGGATATGTCAGTTCTAAGTGTCTGCTGTGAGTTAAAGCTAATTTTATTTGCAGAGCACTTCCTGAGGATTTCTATGTTGATATTTTTGCAGGTGTTACTTTGCTTTTCTCGGGACACTTCAGTACTGGGACACTTTGCGTACAGTAGTGCTACTCCACCTAAGTCATACATTCGAGGTAAAAAACAGATATTTCTTTCTTTCTTTGAAATATTATATTCTGACCTACATTTAAATATTTCTGGATGGATGTCAGACAGTAAATGAACCTTAAGCAATCCTAAATCCCTTAAGATAAAATATTGTATAGAAGTCCATAGCATGGCTTGTTAGAGGCAAGTCATCTTCACTGGGCTCAAAAATATTGATACAACTAAGTTTAACAAGGTGCAACTAGATGGACCATTTATCCTGGCTTTAGATCATGCTTAATGGCTGGATAGCTCAGTGATTTAAGCATCTGGCAGCAGAACCAGAGGTTCAATTTCCAATACAACATAATTGGACTTTTATTGGTCTCTTCAAGCTCTACAATTCTAAGCTGATAGTGGTGGTGATTGTAGAACATTTTACACATAATCAGTATTTATGAAGTGTGATACGTAAAGTGTCTTTCCCTATCACTGGATACCTTGAGTAAAACTCTCTTTCAAAAGCAACCACACACTAACCTGCCCAGTGACACAGTCACTGTCAAGCCTCTGCTCACAACCTGAGTTTGATCCTGGTAGGCTCAGGTACTTGGCTCAGGGCTAAACCAATCTTCCATCCTTCAAAGGTTGGTAAAATTGGTACCCAGATTGCTTGGGGGCAAAGTGTTGTTTGCATAATTATGCAGTATCAGGTAGTATGTAAGCTGAAACAGCAACAGCTCCACTAAAGAATGGATGGATAGAAGGTTCAGACTGTGTATCTCTCCTCATTCCCAGGTGAAGCAGATGAATAAATGTACGCGTCCCTTTTCTTGCTAGTCAGTAATGTCAGGTTCAAATGCTGCATACCATGTTAGATATGATGAGAAAGATCCATAATGCAGCTCTCTCAAAAATCACTTTTTTAACAGCAAACATCCACGTGGCATTCAATTTAGTAGGGAGATGGATGTTGAGTAGGAGGTATTTAGCCCTTTTGTCCCATGCCATTTCCCTGATGTAATTCTGTCACACACAGACAGACAGACCGACACAGAGAGCATCACAATTCCCCACAATTCCTCAATGGCCATTTTTAAGATATGTGGGCAGTTCTTATAATGAATGTCTTGCATCATGTTTACTTTAATACTTAGTATTTGAACCTGTTGTTTGTGGATGACAGATAAAGGTGACAGCAGCTTAAAGTCTGAGAGGGGAGACTCAGCCTTCAAACTGATCATAGAGTTGCTGTACATGAACGAAGATGGCACTCGTGTGCTCTCTCTTTCATTATGTGATTGTTTGCTTGAATGTGGAGTTAGAATGGGAAAGCAGGATTGTATCTCAAAACATCCACCTTGGAAACGTATTTAGGGGGTTTGATAGGTAAATGCTTAAAGTTTAATATGTGTTGCATATGTATGACCCTCATAGCTGCTGGATCAAACACGAAATTTTAGATAAGCCACTCATATTTTATGTGTGTGTGTGTGTGTGTGTGATTTCAATTCGGCTCTTACTTATAGAGGCCCCACTGAGATAAAAATTACAGGTACAGGGGAGTCATGGATTCAACAGACTGTGTTAGGTATACTCCACTTTTCATTATCGGCGGGGGGAGTTTGGAATCAATCCCCCTGCAGATGGGGGGGGTCCTACTGTACAACAAGACCCATTAGTTTATTCTAGTAGATCATTTCGATGATCACTTTATTTTAATTTTTTTTAGGATTGTATTACTATTATATTTAACCTGCTATTTTTGTATCTTTGTTCTGTAAAATACACATTTTAAATGTGAAAATATGTAAAATGTGTATGCATGTGTTTGTATAATAATTTGTTTCTCTTTGTATTTTCTGATTTTTTCACAGGGAAGCTTGGCATGGAAGAGTACGCTGTTTTTTATCCACCAAATGGTAAAGTAATGCTGTTGCAGCCTCTAGTGGAAAAGGGGGAAATTGCAGCAATTTCTAAGTGATTTTTTCTGAATCATATTTTCTGCTGCAGTTTGGGAAAGAAAACAGTATATTTCCCTTCCTCTTTTCACAGTTTTCTGTCTGCATTAAGGTAGAGCCATTTTCATCCATGGCCAGCTCAATATTTTTATGTTTGGTCCTATATATCTAACGCAACAGGTTTTTCATGTTTAAAAACCCGTTTCTCCAGAGAATATTAGGGGGAACAAATGAGTTGTATGTACACACAAGTTATAACACTGTTTTTAATTCACAAAAAACTAAAAGGCAGTTGATGGTCTTATTGTGTCTCACTGTCCCTCTCTGTCCAGATGCAATAATTCTGTACTACCGCACAACTGCATTTCATGTGTACTTCCACTGGGTATGAGAATGACATTTTACACTGCAACCAATTTAAGAAAAAAATATCCTTGCATCTAAATATGTGCATATTCCATCAAGTGACTCTTCCTTCAGCTTTTATTTCAATGCTGAAGGACCAGTGGCAAAGAACTATGGGGAAGGTAATTCGAGTTGATATTATTTTAATTGAAATCAAATATGTCACTTAACTTCCAAAGGAAGTCCTGCTTGCTAAATAATGATCAAAATCCTTGAATGTTAATGGCTGTTGAGCAGGAGGCCCCACCCATCTACATTCCATATAATGTTTCTGTCCTGGTTAAATATGCTTATAATTATGAAGTGCCGAGCAGGCTTCACTGCAGTGTCAATTCCAAGTGGAAAAGTGGCTGAACAAATGGTCTGTAATCAGCCACCAGTAACAAAAAGACCCTCGTCAGGGCAAAAGCTAACCACAGCTTCTATTAACAATGAGGGCTTGTCACTAGTTAAAGAAGATCTTCTGCATCAGGTTTGCCAGTCACAAGATTGCAGTATCTTTTGTATTAAAGATACACATGGGGACACCCACCAGCAGTGCCCCACAATTTCCATTATGAGATTTGTAACTGAGAGACCTCATATGGCATGCTTGAAGCCAACCTCTGTTGATAAAATTAGTTAATCATCAGGCATTGCAGCCAGTGACATACAAAGAGAAGTACAGTGGTACTTCGCTAGACGATAATAATCCGTTCCACTGAAATTGCTGTTTAGCGAAATCATTGTCTAGCGAAAAGCATTTCCCCATTGGAATGCATTGAAACCTGTTTAATTTTTTGACACTGTCTGTTATTGAGCAAACATTATCTGATAAATTTATTAATTGAACTGTGGTGCTTCTGACACAGACAAAGGAGAATTTTTGCTGATCTTTGCCAGTTTTAGGCCTAAACTGCAGAACATCTCTACCTCTTGGACCATTTACCTTTAATTTTGCTCTGACTGTCTTAAGAAGTTGTGACGATTGCCCATGTCACTCCTGTCACTCATAGTCAGGATCTCATTTGCATGAGCCTATGAGAGGATTGGAGGGGTGGAGTCAGCGGATATATAAGAGATAGGAAAAGAGAAAGATAAGAGAGACAAAATTTGCAGAGACAGATAGAGAGATAGTGAGAGGAGAGAGAGAAGGAACAGATACTAATAGAGATAAGCTGCTCAAGATAAATAGATAGATCAGGGGTGATTGGTTATGTGGCAAGATATATGGCATTTTAATGATTTGATTGTGTGCAATGAATATCTGAAGAACATTTGTGATTATGATTAAATTTGATACACTTCAATAAATAAGTTTTGTTGACAGTTACCAGACAAGTGTTTGACTAAAGTCTTTTATATCATGGATTAAAGAAATCCATTGATGGCACTGAGAGAAAGAGAAGACTGAACCCTTTGTGAGGACACAACTCATAGGTGCATCAAAGGAGTCACTATTGGTGTCAGCTGGTGGGATGACATAGTGTGAGCTCTTTGTTTGGTGAAACAAGCAGGGGCCACGTCACAGAAGTTTATTTGAAGATTTGATTTTGTATTCCTGTAGACTTTTTGCCATTCTCCAAACTTATTGATAATCAATGTATTCTCGAAGGCTTTCGCAGCCGGGATCTGATGGTTGTTGTAGTTTTTCCGGGCTGTTTGGCTGTGTTCTGAAGGTTTTTCTTCCTAACATTTCGCCAGTCTCTGTGACATCTGAAGATGCCAGCCACAGAGACTGGTGAAATGTTAGGAAGAAAAACCTTCAAAACACGGCCAAACAACCCAAAAAACCTATAGAAACCAACTTATTGATAATCTTTTGATAACTTTAGAATGAAAGTCTCCTGTCATGATGGGGGAAAGCCCCATCAAGTGCAGTTTGTTTTACAGAAGGAGAGAAGGAATGTTGTGTGACTTCATGGTTCCTGCATTACTTTGCTCTCACGAATAGACTACTTCTGGAGCAGTATTCTCCACACATTATCCACAGCACATATTGTTGGAAGCATCAGAAAGATTTGTCTAGTGAAAGATATTTGATGCTGCAATAGCAGAATCTTTGCAAGAGAATGTACCATCATCATCTATTCCCACTTGCATTCTTGTGCCTGAAATGTACAGTAGATCTAGTTATTTTAAGCTAAGTGTCTGTCATCTTGAGAAATATTTGATTGGTTTGTGCTTCACGACTTATTTACATTATGGATGGTATCTCATAGTGGAGCTTCCTGCTTCCTTCCACATATGATTTTCTTCTTTCATGGGCATAGCATTGTTGCACTGCCCTGTTCACAGAAAACAGGGAGGAACTCCTGTTGTACCTTATGCTTGCTATATTGTAACTTGTCATTCTCTAATATAATGTAGCATATGGTTAATCTGCATCTAGTGTGTAGGCAATGCTTCTGTTGGGAAAGAGTTAGATTGTTTCAGTACAGGTGAATTGAATGTGTACTTGAACAGCTGGAGCCCACTTCTATACAGGATGCACCTGTATAGAAACACAGTAAACACAATACCTTCCAGACTTGATAAAGATGTTACATGCTGTAAGCTCATTTCTAATTTATGAATTAATGGGCTCCAGAACGACCTGTCATTACTAGTCTTGATTCCTTTGTTGTATTAATTCATCTGATGTTAGGTCTTTCTCTTTTCTTACAGCTTTCAACTTTTCCCAGTGTTATTGTCTTTTCTACTGAGTTGCCAAAGCTAACCCCATGTAAAACATGTTACAATAATCCAGTCTTGATGTAAATAAGATGCATGTTACTATAGTCAGTTCTTACTGTCTAGTTGAGCCAAAAGCAGCAAAATCAACACCTTGTACCTCTTAGAGTTAACTATAAGAAGAAGAAAAATGTTCTGGGGAAGTCACACTGAGAGCTTCATGTGGCTATGTGAGGTCCATGGACTACAATTTGTCTACCCTTGATAACCCCTGGTTTAGAGCAAATCAATCATGCTTCCTTATACTGTCTGTAACTAGACAGCTGTGCATTAGGGCCTGTCAAGTTTTTGACAGCAAAAAGAGATTTATTGTGTTACTGGCTGGCCGTGATGGGCTCCATTAACTTGTGAGTCATGAGTTGTGTGGCCTTGCTCTCCCATTTTCAGGGAATCAATTATTTGTTCACATCTGTAAAGCTAAATAGGTGTTCACATGTACAGAAAGAATGAAATGCTTCAAAATTGTGTTTTGTGAAAGCAGAGTCTGGTCATTCTCTTGCAAGGCACAAAGATGTGAAATCAAGAACACTGCTAATAATGAAATGGGATGTCTTTCTTTTACAGGTGTAATTCCTTTTCATGGCTTTTCAATGTATGGTAAGTGACTTTTCATTTTAGCATCTGAGCTAAACATGTTTCACACAAGAAAGAAATGTATATTGTTAGAGCTACTTGTGTAGAGTGTTTTTGTCATGTATCATGGGGTTTCAGGACTCCTTTGGAAGACCTTTTTCATCATATGATGTGATCAGACAGCTGCAGAGACGCACACCTGATCATACTAGAAGGGGCTGCTTTAACAGGAAAATCTCCCTTAAAGTGATGTCACTTTAACTTTAAATTCCCATCTTTTGGGGAATCACTCCCAGCATGGCCTCCAAAAGTAGAAGCCCTACAGGTGGACCAAAAGTCCAGACTGGGGATGGATTGGGGTTAGGCTGCACACATTTCCCCATGCATTTTGTGCCAGGAAAAGATTCATCTTAATGCACTCATATGTTTTTAATTTGAGTTTTGTCTGCTATTACCTCTGGAGTTTCTTCAGTCTGTTTTTATTAACTGGATTTTGTTTTTGATGGGTGGGTTGTCATTTCTTCTTATTCCTATTAGCCGCGCAGGTGTATCATTAAATGAGTGGGGTAAAAATGTAAAGATAAATGAATAAATAAATAAATATTACAGCAATCTAGATTGTGATGTATTTATCTTTGTGATCATATTGTAAGTTTACCAATCATTCTAATACTTAGATATTAGAAGAGTCTCAGATCTGTTGCTGGTCTGAATTCCAGACTTTTGATATATATGAGAATAGGAGATGGGGAATTGCCAGAGTTGCCAAGTGTGCCACAGCTACATTAGGTTTGCCTGCCATGCTCGTATCATCCGGGAGATGGCCCTTGGTGGAAGAAGAAGAAAAGTCTGATCCAATTCTGGAGACTCTTGTATTTATACCAGATTCAGGTTTTTGTTATCAGCACCTTCATATGAATAGTGGTTTCTTAGCAATTGCTTAATTGGTTGGCTGCTCATAAAAATGTAACTGCTATTACAGCTGCCAGTGTGGCTGCACATAGGCAACTTATTTGATGTTCTTGATTCACAGAAATTGTATCTTAAACTGCATGTGGCCCAACCATGTGATTAACATTCTCAAAGTTATCACATATGTGAAATGGCCCATAATTCTTCCATGTATTATAAAAACTAATATCTGAGTGAGTTGTAAGAAAGAAAGGCAAATCATTTTTATTCTATCAATGGGCTATATCAGCATACATTTTGGTACTTAATTTGATGCATCTTTTATTTTCCTTTACAATTGCTATACTTTATAAATATTCTAAATGATGTTACTGAACTATTATTATTTCAGAATGATGAAATAATGTGTGACTTTTTGTTCTTTCAGTTGCTCCACTTTGTTTTCTTTACAATGAACCTTCACAATTGTATCAAATATTTCGTGAAATATATGTCCGTTACTTCTTCAGACTTCATTCCATCTCTTCACATCCTTCTGTAAGTTTGCTTTGTACAAATTTAATTGGTGCGTCCTGTTTCTAAATAATTTCAGAGAATAACAAGGAACTAGCTTCAAGGATGATTGGCATTGAAAGACAGAATACAAAAGTTGTACAAATGATAAAGAAAAATCTATCTGTATACTATGTATTAGCTCATATATATTGTATGAGCACACTTTAACTTTATGGGACTCACATAAAACAACTCAGTGGTATTGATAAAATCTCCAGTTTTTGGCAGATGAACATAAACTGTCTTATAACATGAAATTATTAGTCCAACTCACTTAATATTATTTGAGGTGCTTCCTTATACAAAAAGTGGAGGAAGAAACTAGAGAAGTAGCTATCTTTGACTTGATTCTAACCCATAGAGATGACTGGATGGAAAAAAATGCAGTAAGGGGAAATCTAGGTAAAAGTGACAATGTTCTACTTGAGTTCTTGATTTCATTGGAAACAAAAGCAGAGTGTAGCCACACATGTATGCTGGATTTTAGGAAAGCCAATTTTAATAAACTCAGAACCATGATAAGTAGGATCCCATGGCAGGAGATCCTACTAGAAAAAATAATTCAAGAGGAGTGGGAATATTGAAAAAGGAAATTCTAAAGGCACAGCTACACACAATTCCAAAAAGAAAAAAAAAGTGGAAAAGAGCTAAAAAAAGAAAGAAAAATGTGTCTTCTCAAAAAGTTCACCTAGAACTTGAAAATAGAAAGGGAAAAATGTTGGAAGTGGAAGGAAGGCCAGGCCACAAAGAAATAATACAGACAAATAGCAAATAATTGCATGGATGGTGTTAGGAAGACAATCATGAAATCATTGGAAATGGGTGAGGTACCAGATTACCGGAGGAGAGCTAATGTTGTCCCTATCTTCAAAAAAGGCAAAATGGAGGAACCTGGGAACTACAGACCAGTCAGTCTGACATCAATCCTATGGAAAGTTCTGGAACAGATTATTAAGTGGTTACTATACAAGCACCTAGAAAACACAGCAGTAATAACTAAGAACCAACATGGATTTGTCAAGAACAAATCCAGCAGACTAATCTGATCTCATTTTTTGATCAGTAAGCGCTCTGATAGAGGGAATGCTGTAGACATTTTATATCTTGACTTTAGCAAAGTGTTTGATCCAAGTACCCCATTATATTTTGATAAGCAAGTTAACTAGGTGCGGGCTGGATTGAACAACTGTCAGGTGGATACACAGTTGGCTACAGAATCATACTCAGAGGGTGATGATTAATTGTTCCTTCTCCAGCTGGGAGGAGGGAACAAGCAGGGTACCCCAGGGCTCAGTCCTGGGCTCAGTGCCATTCAACAGTTTTATTAATGACCTAGAAAACCATATGTCGGATATACTTTAATTTGGATTCCACAACTGAGCAGTAAGTTGGACTTCATGGCCTTATAGGTCCCCTCCACCTCAGGCTTATCACAGGCATAGATGTCTTTGAAGATAAACCTGTGCACAGAGCAGCCACATGGCGGGGAGAAGCAACAAGTGAGAGAGGAACAATGGGGAGGGGCAGGGAGAGAGGTGCCATAGAAAGAGGGAATCAAAGAAAAAGAGAGGGAGGAACCAGAGAGAAAAAGAACACACATATACACGAGCCATGTGGGAGGGGAGAGAGAAATGGCATGAAGACAGAGAAAGAGAGAGGAAAGTCATAAACAAAGATAGCCTTGGAGATAGATGTTGGTATCTCTAGTACTCTGGTTAGAAATTTATACTGGACAGATTCCAATATTGTGTTATTTGAAGGAGCCCATACTGGGGCCACATGAAGCATCTGAGGAAGCAATTTATATGGTTGTACTAAAGGCTCCATCAAAATCTCACACACACGCCGCAGAGCTAAATAAAAACAATAAATAGCATTGATGGATACCTCAGCTGATAGAACTTCAGATTCTAAGTGATCTGACCATGTTCCTGAACTGTAAGGTATATATACAGTTTTAATAAACTCAGAACCATGATCAGAACTTTGCCAAGAAAAAGATGAAACTGTGCCACACCTCATCTGCAAATGTCCAAAGATTGCACAGATTACAAAATTAGACATGATAGAGTGGCAAAATTAGTGCAATAGTAATTATGCAAAAAATATAACTTGCTGGCCTCCAAAAATCTGTGGGAATATCAGATAGAGAAGGTGTCAGAATATGAGGAAGTCAAGATCTTGTGAAATTTCTAGATCCAAACTGATTGACACCTTGAACGTAACATACCAGATACAGTAGTAATAGAATGAAGAAATGTCTGGATCATCGACATTGCAATTCCAGGGGATGCCAGAGTAGAAAATAAAGAATTGGAAAAACTAACAAAGTACAGTGATCTGGCAATTGAAACATCTTGCTTGTGGATGAAACACACTTCAGTGGGGCTTTGGGAACAATATCAAAGAATTTCACACAGTACTATAAGCAGTTGCAGATCTCAGAACTCACATCATCAGAGTTAGAAAAAAACAGCAATATTAGGAATAACATACATGGTGTGTCAATATTGAACAGTTACTTCGGTTTTTGGTTAAAACTTGTATCTGTTATATAATACCAGTGAATGTTTTTATAATTTTGATTGACTGTGCCTGGTATTTTTGAATAATAATAACAACAGTAATCATAATCATCATCATCATCTTAGAACTGCTGAGCTGGAAGGGACCCTATGGAATTGTTGTAGTGGTTGCTTTGACTTACATACGACCCCATAGTGCTTAGAGCACTCTCTGAGCTGTTTACAGTATAATTATGGAAACAACAACTCCCCCCCCCATGAGCAGGGTACACATTTTACTGACCTCGGAAGGATAGAGGGCTGATTTGGCCTTGAGCCAGCTACCTGAATCCTTTGGGATAGAACAGTTGTCATTTGTATTTCTTCTTCTTTTTCCCAAAAACTAAAATTTTGGTTTTGGTGCCATATACCTGGAGGGGTTCCTTCGCACAATAAACACCTAAGGCCCTTAACAGTGTTTGCATGCACCCCAGGGTATAGGACATGAGAATAGCATCATCTGCATATAAAAATTCTGATATATTCCTGTGCTTTAGATGGAGTAGGAAAAACTTGGGGCTGGATAGGAAGGATACTATGTTGTTTAGGTATAAATCAAATAGAGAGGGGGCTAATAAACGTAAGTGAAACACTTCCTTATTTACTGGGATTGGGCCTGAAACTTGCCATCAGAGGTGACCCTTACTCATAGGGTGGTATTCTTATACAGTCCTTGGATTCTCCTGAGCAACCTATGATCTATATTTAAGAATTCCAGTTCCCTTCAAAGATAGGGCTGAGATATGTAGTCAAAGGCTACTTTAAAGTCTTCTAAAGTCACAAATAGTGAATGATAGGTGGGTTGGGGGAGATGTATATTTCCCCACTAACTGTTTTTGGACCCTTCAGTTGTTCAGATCACTCAAGATACTCCAATAAATCAAACATATTATCATGGCTGTTTTTGTCAATGGAGAGCCCTAGGGAATTCACTGAAGTTTGTCTCTTGGAATATTTGTGGACAGTCCAACAAAAATTTAAATGCCTCATTAAGAATGTACCTTAAATCCTTTGATGTTATATTTGTTCAGTTAACATGGCGTATTGGGGGTGTCCTTCTAAATGAGTTTAAAACCTTTGTAGACCCTTTAAATTTGATGCCCAATTTGGCCCAAACTGTCCAACATATCAGTCCAACAAACCACACATCTTAGTTTGGAAGAAATCCCACAGATGAAAGATGGGCAGTCTAAGGACCCTGTTGCAGATACTAAAGGTAAAGGTAAAGGTTCCCCTTGACAATTTGTCCAGTCGTGTCCAACTCTAGGCGGCTGTGCTCATCTCCGTTTCCAACCCATAGAGTTAGCGTTTTGTCTGCAGACAATCCTACGTGGTCACATGGCCAGCGTGACTAGACATGGAACGCTGTTTACCTTCCCATCAAGGGATACCTATTTATCTACTCACATTTTTGCATTTTGCATGCTTTTGAACTGCTAGGTTGGTGGGAACTGGGACAAGCAGCACAGAGGCTTCAGCAGTTTAACCTGCAGCACCACCACATCCCAATACAGATACTGAAGAGAAGTGCTTTACTCAAATGATTTTGCAGGCTGGTCTCTGTATTTTGAATGGTTCCCAGAAGGCAAACCTCTTTACATTTTGAATGGCTCCCAGAGAAAAGGAATTCACTTTCATCAGTCACATGGATGCCAGTATAGTCAATTTCATTGCAGTCTCCTCATCCGTGATTAAGTTTATTACCTCATTCAGATTAGACTCATATCCAATTTAGTGATTATCAACCTCTAATCTTTCAAGTAGGATATCCAGACAACCTTCAGAAAAGATTAGGAATTTTGAGCCCATATACACAAGAAGTTACCTTTCTTTGCAATTGGGCAAAAGTTAAATTTAAAGATTTAGAATAGAGATGGAGGTATTCGTATACAAATACCCTCGCACAGGTGGCGATAACGAGAGTCCAGCCCCATGAGGCCAGATGGTCCACTCACAATTCCGCCACTGCTGTGAGCTCCGGCATCCTTCCTATCCGTAGCTCACGACTGACTCGCCACTCCTGGGAGGAGGTGGCACAACAAGCCTCTCTGCCAGGTTGAAGTGTGGCTCACAGATTGCAAGCTCCCGAGTGACAGGAAGAATGCTGGAGCTTGCGGCAGCGGCGGAATTGTGAGTGGACCGTCCGGCCCCATGGGGCTGGACCCTCGTTATCACTAACTGTGCGGGGGTATTCGTATTCATATACCAATACAAATACCCCCATCTCTAATTTAGAATGTTTATGACAATCTGAGAATATGTATATTTTGAGAGATGCTTTGATCTCTTCAAAAGATATAAAAGCAACACTAGATTGCTATGCTCATATCTTAAAATCATTCCAACGTTCACTTCTCCAGGGAGCCCGACTGTTTTGCTTTATGCCTGACTCCTAAACCAGATTTTCCAACATTGTTTGACTCTGCTTCATTCCTACTTGTGTGTTCCTATCACCTGTGATTATCAGCAAATCCTGTTTTGGCGTGATCAGTTTCATCCAGGACACAAACATAAACACTTTGTGTTTCTTATTTTTCAGCGGTTATAGTTGGAGCACTAACTTGAATACCGACAAATTTTCCAAGAATTCTGGTTGATACTCTTTAGTCAGACTTTCTCTTAACTGCCCTAATTGCTTGTGTTACATCAATCTTACTATTACAGCTACACAATTTCTTATGAATTTGTTCTTCTAGAGTGAGAAACAAAGGCTGAAATCCAGTAGCATAAAGTTATGGTTGACTGTATGATCAACTGTGATCAGTTGGGGGGGAGGGGGTTAAAAGTTTCCAGTTCCTGGCTCTGAAGATTGGGGACCTCTGGATGGGGGTGGGGAGCCTTTAATCTCCTAAAATCACAGCTGCTGGTAAAATCATCCTGACTGCAGTCATTTTTAGAGATTAAAGACTTCCCCCAACCAGGGACACCCAACAGCTTCTTCAGGATGAAAGGGAGATTGGAAACCTTGGTGGTAGGGAAAGTTGGAAACATTTACATACATGGTGTTTGTGTAAGACTTGTGTAACTTGTTGAATGTAATTGACAAGGTGTTTGGGTGTGTCTCAGTCTCATGTGAGGTCTTGTGCCCAACTGAAGAATCAGTATGTCCTCCGGCACTTCATTAATTAGGCATGGCAAGTTACACAAACCATGTTGTTCTTGTTTAGTCATTAAGTCATGTCCAACTCTTTGTGACCCCATGGACCACAGCACACCAGGCCCTCCTGTCTTCCACTGCCTCCCAGAGTTTGATCAAAACTGTGTTTTGGTCAATACAGACCATACATAATAAGATTCCAATCTTTGCAATTACCAGATTAAAAATGTCCTATTCCAGTCCGCATTAGTTCACTGTATAATGTATTACGATGTTTAAATGTTCCATTTTTTGCTGCATCATTTCACATTTACCTTGATTTAAATTTCTCACCTTTTGTATTCCAATTATGTGTCATGCAGGACCAGACTTATTTTTTGCCCCCATTTACGTAAGCAATTATGCATAGCCTTTTGGCTTTAATCCATTTTCTTCATTAGCCAATGTGACCTTCCACTATTGCCACTACCCAGAAGGCGATTGCCAAGAGTTTCGTTGCTTGCCACCAGTTCACCTCTGCTGATTTGACCATTAATTCCTGAAGATGATGGATACATCTTAGTTTGGTGTCTCAGTTTTGCCCATTTTATCTTGGGTGACTCTTTTAACAATCTAGACTTGAAACAGAATCTCTCCTGTTGGCCCCATTGCTCTTAGCTTCCCCTGATTCAAGCCCACATGTTAACGTGGCCACCTAAGGGGTGGTAGTTTACAGAGTCACAATTATGACATACAAACCTAAGTTTAAGAAAATAGTTAAACTTGTCTTAGAATCAACTAAATACCTTTCTTTGTACTTTAAAAGCTGGTGTTTGGGCCTAAATTGTCTGGATTAACACACAATTTAGACTCATGTACCAGACGTTAAAGTACAAATGAGAAGACAGGTTGCCCCATGTCTGCAGGTGACAGTACAGTATTCTATAATTTAAAGGAGTCAGTTGTGTTAAAGTAACTAAATTTTGGTATGTCCTTGTTTTTCCATGAGCTGGTTTTATCAATTCATATTCTGATTTTTCAACTTGTTGCATATGATTTATAATCTGTACAGGGTGTGGTCTGGTTTTTTTTCGTATTTTTGTTTTTAAAACTAGGTACCTCCCTTTTTTAATTTAAGGGCATTGTATCACTGTGTTTGCTGTTTGAGACCCTTCTCCAGACTAATCTCCCACAGCTGTTTTATCATCTTCGGGAAATTGGAGCGCAGCCGTAAGTGTTCTTCATAAATGTGATTGCTGATGTGGGGTAAAAGCTACATTTAGAATGGATTCTGAATAAAGATGGGATATTCATATTTGTCTCCCCAGGGAGAGGAATATGGATATCACCAGCACAGGTGGCCTGGCTGATTGGGCCCTCCTCTGAGAACCCGGCTGTCCGCTAAATGCTCACAGCATGACGTGCAGCCATTATCATTCAGGCTGTGTCAATCACAGAAGTAGCCTGGCCAGACCTTCCCTGCCTCCCTGTGCTGCTGACCAATCCAGCAAGGAGGTGGGATGACAAGTCTCCTTGCTCAACAACTTGAATGATCAGCAGTGCAAGGAGATAAAGAGGTCTGGCTGGGCTACTTACGTGACTGATGTGGCATGAACAATAATGCCCCCCCATGCCACACTGCAAGTGGTAAGTAGACGGCCTGGTTCTGGAGGAGGGTCCAACCAGCACAGTCACCTGTGATGGCAATATTTTGCCACACTGCAAGTGGTAAGTGGACAGCCCGGTTCTGGGAGGAGGGTCCAACCAGCACAGCCACCTGTGATGGCAATATTCGTATTCGTCTCCAGGGAGACGAATACAAATATCCCATCAAATTATGGATTTTGCTTTTTTCCTTCAGTTTTAATTCATTAATTACTGTTAAGTTTAAGAAGCAGTGAATCAATAGATTCTGAATTAGTCAGAATTCAATAAGTGAATTAAATTCTACACTTAGAACTAGAAATGGGCACGAACTGCTGGTTTGGCCATTGGTGCTGGTTTGTCCTTCAGAAGAAAAGGTGTTTGGGGCTTCCCAGCCCTGCATCCTCTGGTGGGTGCTGACTCAGAGACAGTGCCCCGGCTTCCTTGCCCCACCTTCTCTGAGTGCTATCTCTGAGTGAGCACCTAATGAAGGGGGAGATCTGAGAAGCACTGGACACCGGTTTGTCTGAAGGATGAACTAGCATGAATCTCTATTTGAAACCAATATTGAACTGTATTTCAGTTCTGATTCTGAATCTACAGGTAAGGGGTGAGGAGCCCCCTTTTTCTTTTGGGGGGGCACTGTCAGGACTGGGGCCATGCAACCCTAGTTTATGCAGGATTGGCCCTATCCCTTTAGGGAAAACCGTTCTAGAGATTGCAGGACTGGGCCTTTTCCCTGCAGCTGCTGCCCAGCTCCTCAGGAGTGCCACCTGTGGAATCTGAGGACTGGGCTATATGAGAACAGGCTTTCCCTACTGATCTTTGCCTCAGCAGTGAAGGTCTCATTGGTGTGGTGTTATTCTTGCCTTGCCTGCCTCACCTGGTTGTTCCTGCCTTGCCTGCCAACCTCCTTGTTCCTGCCCTGCCTGGTGGTTCCTGCCCTGCCTGCCTTCCTGGTTGTTTGTGCAGTGTCTACGTACCCTGTTGTTCCTGCCTTGCCTCTCCTGCATCTCTGGACCCTGCTGCCTTGATACTGTTCTTCCTGGCCTTGACTCCTGGACTGTCTGACCATGATTGGCATCATCCTTCTACTTGGCTGCTGTTTGGACTCATAACCCTAGCTGGTTGGTCTCTGCTTGGGCTGTGGGGTTGTTTCTAACTTGTTCCTGTGGTCTTGCTCTGTCCTGGGTCCTGATAGCTTTTCTACTGAACCCTGACATAGATCCTGAATTAGGAAGAAGTCAACGAGTGAATGATGCCAAACTGAGTGTCAAAAAAGATTACTACTTCTTCGTGGCCTCTGTGAATCACACTGTAAGTAATCCACACATATGCGGAGCCTTGTCAGAATATTCTAGAGCTCCCTACGGTAGGAAAAAGATACATTGGTAAAGACCCCTCCCCCTTTGTATATGTACCTTGGTGCCAAGGTTTTCCCTTCAGCTTCTTTCAACTGCCGCATTGAGAACCTTGTTCATTCTGTGAGAATCTGAAAGCGAAAGAAGGAAAGTTCTTGAACTTTTATCTAATATCTTTATCACTGATTATTATTCTTAAACTTACTATTTACAAAACAAGAATGCGCTCCAGTTTTAGGGCCGAAGCGTCCCCTCTCCTGTTTTTTTTAAAGCTGGCTTTCGATTCATGGCCTCTTCAGGCCAGTTTAAACACTACTTGGTCTGCGATAACAAGATCTCGCTCTCTGACAGCCATGCTAAATGTCTTTTTTGTCTCAGTGAGGCTCATTGAACTTCCTCGTGCCCTCACTGCAAAAACTTTAAATGCGGAGTTCTCCGCAGTTGCCTCTCTAGGCTCAAGCTTCAGCTTTGAGAGCAATCTCTCCAACTTGCTAAGCCCATGGTCCAATCTTCCTGCAAATCCATGTCCCACGCTAAAACAATGGATAAAGCAGTTTCTGAAGCAACCAAACAGCGTCCGTCGGCTACTCCATCTCGTTCCGATCATAGAGAACCTACTGTGCCCTTGATATCGACAGTCATGAGTGCACAAAACCAGTCGACATCAAAGCCCTCAACACCGAAAACAGCCACTAAAAGCCATCCATTGTCGCTTCCACACCACCTGAACCTTTGCCTCTGAAGAAGACTAAGTCTTTGAAATCAAAGCCTTCCAAAACCATTTTCCCGACTCTGCAACCACCGGAGTCCAGAGACCTCATCTGTGTAGGTTCTCTTTTGGATGAGGAAGCACTTCCACCTCATCAACTATCACCATCCCAGTCTCCCGAATGGGATCACCACATTGATCAACTCACAGTTTTTCCTAGTAGCCTGCAACAATCTTCGGCTTTTCCTGTGAGTCTTCTCCAATTGTCTCGCCAGACATCCATGGCGCTGAAACACAACCAGAAACTGTGCCATATTCTGCCCCAGTAGGCCTCCCACCTCGGCCTCTGTCACATCAACAAAGGCACCAAGCCTATAAGAGCATCTGCTTGCCTTCTTGAGCAGAAAGAGATTACGCTCAGCACCATCATCAGGATGCTGTTTCCCCCAATTGGTGTCCAACAGAGAGACCCACCAAATATTATCGACCAATTGCCTTTCCTGGTGTGGCGTCACTGCTGGAACATGTTGTCCCTGTTAGAGAGACTTTGGTGTCAGAGAGATCCTATAACCATGATCGCCCAGGACTACCTGGCACCTCTTATCTGCCAGCACTAAAGAACCCCCAGCAAGCCGATCAATACTCCTCAGCTCCAGGCACATTTGCAGCACTGGCAAGTTATTATTTTCCTGCCCATCAGGAGGACCGCGAGTGCTCATCCCACTCAGCATCACCAGCGTCTGCCTATTCCACCATAATGCAGTGGTGTCCATTGAAACCTTTATCACCAAGACAGCTGTCTCGACACCGACAGCAACCTCCATATTGACATCACCATACTGACCCTTTAGATATCGACGATCCTCAGTATCAACCACTACCCGTGGATGCATCTTCCATGTCTACAGGAGTCAAATGCTCTCAATATACTGGTCTCGATGACCCTCGATATCAACCCCTGTCCACCGACGCCCCCTCGACATTGACAGCTTGACGTTGACACCAATATTTTGAGGACCAGTCGATTGACTCGAAACATGATGTTGACCTATCTGATCATGGTTCCAGGCCTCAAATGCCATCAATACTTTTAACATCACCAGACTCTGACCTGGAAGACACAGACCCTCCGTCTCCAGCAGAGGATTTTCAAACCTTTGCTCAGTTAATGGTTCATATCGCCAAATCCCTCAACTTACAAATCCACAGCCCTACTAATGAACCAGCAGATCATCTTTATGATCCCATTTCTAAAGATACTACCAAACCAGTCCATATCTCCATGCTTCCTTCTCTCCTGAGCATATCTACATGTTCCTGGACCAAACCAGCATCATCTTATTTGGTGTCAAAGCACATAGACAACCTTCATTCAATACATGACCCGGGCACATTCTTTTTACAGAAACAACTGGCTCCCAATTCCATCTTCATTAAGGCTTCACAATCTCCCTGTCAACTCAGACAAGTGCTAATACCACCTAATAAAGACAGATGCATTGATTCTATGGGCAGATGGCTACACTCCTCCGTCGATTTCACCATGAGAGTTGCCAGTTATCAGGGAGCTATGGGCACCTACCAACGTTTTCTCTGGAACAATATGTCCACCTTTATTCATTCGCTTCCCAAAAATAAAAGGGTCTTAGCACTAACTTTTCAACAAGAGGGTCTCTCAGTGGCAAAACAGCAGATGCTATCTGCTAGACACACAATTGATGCCACATCTAAATCAATTGCTACCTCTGTAGTGTTTCAACGTTTCTCCTGGCTTAGAACCACAGGTCTAGCTGAGGACGCACGTGCACACATTGAAGACCTCTTCATTGCTGAGACAGACGCCATTCTTGAGAATGTTCAGAAAAGGAGGACAGCTGCCAGGCATCGGGGAATCTTCTCCACATATCAAAAATGCCCTCAGCGCAGTCAGTGGCACCACCCAGAACCTCAAAGGCAAACATCTTATGTGCCTAACTACAAATAACAACCTTACTGAGGCAAACCTCGCCAACAAACCACAACTAGGTACATTGACCATAAGCCTAAGCATCACGTTTGACATCCAACTGGCCGAGATCCCAATACCACCTCCCACCTCTCCTCCTGCCCTTTGGAAAGCTAGAAAGATATTGCTACAGATGCCTGGGTGCTGTCCATCATAGGGAACGGGTACTGCATCGAATTCCACCAGCTTCATCCACCGTCACACACCATCACACCTCCATCGCAAACGCTACAAAAAGAAATACAGTCATTACTACTCAAAGACACCATATAACCAGTACCACTACAATACACAGTCATAGTTTCTCTCTCTCGCTATTTCACCATCCCCAAAAAAGATAGAGGCCTTCGCCCCATCCTTGACCTCAGGGAGCTAAATCAATACATCACTAGCACCAAGTTCTGCATGGTTACCCTCAAGTCCGTCCTTCCTTTACTCCGCAAAAAAAAGAGACTTGTTCACAGACATAGACCTCAGGGATGCCTATTTCTACATCCCCATCCATCCTTATCACAGGCCCTACCTACACTTCCAACTTGGAACTCAGGCCTACCAATTCAAAAGACTTCCATTCGGACTCACAACAGGTCCCCAAGTATTTACCAAATGCATGGCCCTGTGGCACATACTTCAGGTTTCACAAAATTCATATTTCCCCATACGTCAACAACTGGCTGCTCATAGCATGCTCCCGTCACAAAGCACAACACATTCACTTCTCTTTGTCTCTTCTCTGGGATCTCAGCCTTGCAGTAAATCTGCAAAAATCCAAATTAAAACCCACAAGACTGGTTCACTATATAGGAGCAGTTATAGACCCCAAACATGCTCATGTGTTTTTTCCAACAGACAAACACCCCAATCTAGTTTCCTTACTAAGTGCTTTCACTCCTCTGTGCTAACAGTCCAACATGTTTTAGGTACTATGGCATCCATGACTGCTGTGGTTCTGCATGTTCACCTCAAAATGAGATCACTCCAAGCATGATTCTTACCCTTGTTCAACCCATTGACAGATCCACCACATATGTTCTTGCGAGTCACTCCAGAACTCGCCTCCCAGCTTGTATGGTGGCGCCCCACTGAAAACCTCATGATGGGATGGCCTTTTCAACAACCCCACCCACAAATCCAGGTTACCACAGATGTCAGCCTTACTGGCTGGGGTGCCCATTGCAGATCCCTGCAAATCCATGCCCAGTGGTCGCAAAGAGAGAAGTTGCTCCATATCAACAAGCTAGAACTCTTGGCAGTAATAAAAGCCTGCAAAGGTTTCAAACCATCTTATAGGCAAAATGGTTCCGATACAATGGGGTCTTGACTTAAGAACGGCTTGAGTTAAGAACATTTTGACTTAAGAACCACTCTCATAGGAAAATATTGACTTGACTTACATACTTAGATTTGAGTTAAGAACTGAAAAAAACCCACGTGGGAGGCAGGGAAAGTGCAAAATTTGAATTTTCAGTTAACTGTTGGCCAGTGAAAAGGGTGCCTGTCTGCTTCCTCCCTCCTCCCAGCGTTTAGAGAGTGGATTGGGAGTCTTCAGACTGCCTGGTGCTGCCTGGACTGTATTTTCCCTGCCTTCCCTGAACCTTTCTTGACCTAAGAAAAAAAGAAACAAAATATCCCCCTCTAGTGGTTGAAGGCGGAATAGCAGCTTCCCATTAGTTTCTATGGACGGAAAAGAGCAGATACGGATCAAATGGTTTTCAATGCATTCCTATGGGAAATGCAGATTTGACCTGAGAACTTTTTGACTTGAGAACCGCCTTCCAATACGGATTAAGTTCTCAAGTCAAGACCCCACTGTAGCTGCAGACAACACCACCACAACATATTATATTCTCAAACAAGGGGGCACTCACTCCCCAAGTCTTTTATGCCTTGCTGTAAACCTGTGGGAATGGTGCTTCTCCCATCACATTTGTCTCATGGCAATACATACAGCCAGTCAGGACAAGAATCTGGTGGATTTGCTCAGTCACAAAGAGTCTCAAGTTGGACCTAGAGCAATCTCTTTTTTTCTCCCTCTGCGAAAGATGGGGCGCACCTACCATCAACCTCTTTGCCTCTCAGATAAACCAGAAATGCAACAACTTACAAGGCCCGTGTTTAAGCCCCTGGTGTCAGCCAACCTCAGGTTACTTGCCTTCAAAACTATGTTTCTTGTGGCCATCACTACAGCTCTATGTGCTAGTGAACTTGTGGCCTTGAGGTCTGACTACCCTTATCTCCAGTTTTACCAAGATAAGGTTAAACTTTTTGTAGGTATTTCTTTCCTACCCAAAGTTGTCTCCCAGTTCCACCTGTCCCAACCTTTGGTTCTTCTTTCCGTTTTTCCATCTCCAGCTACTCCTCAAGAAAGGATTCTCCATACATTGGATGTAAGACAGGCCCTGGCCTTCTACATAGCCCACACTCTATCCTTCAGACACCTCAATTTTTTGTCAGGTACCAACTTCCTGCTAAAGGTCTTCAAGTTATCTCACAGAGGATCTCTAAGTAGGTTGTGTCTACAATCCAACTTGCTTATCAGCTTGCTCAAGTTCCAGTTCCTCAGAGTATCTACTCTCATTCTACCAGGGTGTTGACAACATCTAGAGCATTTCTTTGGGGCGTCCTCTTCCTGGATGTCTGTGCCTCTGCCACATGGGTACAGTCATCCACGTTTATCAGTCACTGCCAACTGGACGTTCAGCAGAAATTTGATGCTGCTTTTGGGTGTGCTGTCTTGTCATCTACCTTGGTGTGACACCCTCCTCCAGGTAAGGTAGCTTGTTAGTCACCCATAGTGTGATTCACAGAGGCCATGAAGAAGAATGACAGGTTACCTACCTGTAACTGTGGTTCTTCGAGTGGACCTCTGTGATTCACACATCCCGACCCAGCCTCCCCACTGCCACACCCTCTTTTCTTTATGTGGCGGTTGACCTAACTGAAGGGAGAGCCTTGTTGCCAAGGTACATATACCAAGGAGAAGGGGTCTGTACTAATGTATCTTTTTGCTGCTGCAGAATCTCTATAATATTGCAATGATGCTCAACACATGTGCGGATTACCCATAGTCTGAATCACAGAGGTCCACTTGAAGAACCACAATTACGACAGGTAGGTAACCTGTCATTTTCTTAGTTGAGTTAAGAATCAGAAAAAAATGGGCTCTGATCAGTTTAAGGAACAGAAATAAATGCAAGCACGTCTTAAACTAAACAGCAAGGTATTAGTGACTGAAATTCATGGGGAAATATATAATGTATAATACTATAATGTCTTTTTTTCTTGTAGGCTAAGAATCTCATTTAAGTGGATGGTACGAGCATTCTCTGGTTACTTAGCTACAGATCAGCTTCTGCTTTTATGGGACAGAATTCTGGGATACAACTCTCTAGAAATTCTTGCTGGTAATGAAAGTAATAGCTTTTATGTTATGTTATGTGTTGTCAAGTTGGAACCAACTTATAGTGACCTTAATAGGGCGTTCAAGGTAAATGAGCTATTTAAGGAGTGGTTTTATCAGTTCTGCACCCCTAGTGAGTTTCCATAACTAAGCAGGGATTTGAACCCAGGCCTAGTCCGTCACTCTTTTCACTACACCACACTGAGTATCTAATACCTTTTATAAGTGTTATTATTTTTGGTGAAGAAACATGACATCATGTTGGCTGCTCTTCAAGGTATAATTTGAGATTACAGGTCTTTTAAATCTTAGAATTGTATGAAGTGTGGCAGGATGGCTAAGGATGGGCCATTGTTCAATTTCTTCTCTAATACCAATATAGTTAATACTTTCTGCTCAAAGATTTGCCTTAGTAGGAGCTTGTAAACCAATTCTCTAGGGTTCGGATATCTTCAGGTGGCAGCTGGTGATACCATATGTAAGTGTTGAGAATAGGTACAATAAGCCCAGTCTTTTCCTAGTATATGACTTCTTTGTTCAGTAGGAGGAGACAGGGTCAACAAAGTCTCTCCTCTTTTAATGCCTAAGGAAGCCAGATGTGGCTAAAATGGATGATTGGTAAGTTTGTACAGCATCGACAGTCCTGTTTGGGGCTATTTCACAGTCAGGCTGGCAAAGCTGAATTTTTCACAGATACTGTGTTTGTTGACAGTTCTGCTCCTTGGATCACTGAGGGGTTGATTTTTTCTGAAGAAGTTTAGCTCAAATGGCAATAAGATATGTAAAAAGCAAAGTCACTTCTCTCTATTATTCTCCCTAAACCAGATGATAAATTTCATACCCATGTCTCCTCAAATCAATGAAATTACTAGCTCAGTTTGTCATCTGTCAAGTGTTCCTTAGTGTAGGAACTGTCAGTTAATTGCTACAATTCCTTTATTGGAGTTACTTGGTTGGAATTTTCAAAGAGAAATACCATTATTCAGCAGCTTCTTGCAACATTGTAAGGAAGAAACACTGGCCAAGCCATTAGATGTACATCCAATTTGATACATGAACTGATGTTGTCAATCTGCTGTTGGCCTACAATAATAGGGGATAATCAACTCCTTTTATTTACCATTTATTTAATTAGAGTCAATAGGAGATAATTTCTTCTATATCAGACCTGGGCAAAGTGTGGCCCACGGGCCACATACAGCCCAAGAGCTGCTCCTGTCTGTCCCGCCGGTCATTGCTCCAGTCCGACCCGCCCGTCGTCGCTGAGTGAGCCGGAGCTCCAGCTCCAGTCACCCAGCATGGCAGTAAGCAAAACTCATGAGATCTGACGCTGGGGTCTCGCGAGTTTTGACTGTTACTCTTGAGCTGCAGGCTGCGGAGCCTGCGGCTCAAGAGGCTGGAAGCAATCCTTGCGCAGGCGACGTGATAATGCATCACATCGCCTGCGTGGGATAGAAAATAGTCAGAGAGGAAGGCCACGGGGGAACAGAGGACAGGTGAGTTAGCTCAGTGTCGAGGGTTTTTTCCCCTCTGAGAGGAAGGCCACGGGGGAATTACAACACTCACATAGTTAACTCCCTAAAAAGTTTAAGGAGTTAACTATGTTAGCCTTGTAGTTCGTTCACCGCAGGGCCTCACTCAATGGGGGCCTATTACTACCCACAAATTGGGGACCTATTACTAGCCACCCCTGAACACAGTTCAGATTTTTCATGTGGCCCCCTATAGAAATTAATTGCCCACCTCTGTTCTATATAATGGAAGTGCTTAACATTGGATGGATCACACTTAGAATAGATAAGGGACTAATCAATATCATGCATCATGGAGTTAGAATGTGCCTGGCCTTGCTCTCTTCACCTTATTCCCCATGCATCAGATATCTCAGTATTATTGTTCTGCACATTAGGCCCAATCTGCATGTTGTAATAAAAATCATGTTGATTGGGCCGTATTATTGTTCTGCACATTAGGCCCAATCGGCATGTTGTAATACACACAGAGTCTGTTTTCCATTTGATAGGCAATAGTGTGGATATTCCACAATGTATTCCCATTATCTATCCACATGATCACTTCATGAACAGTCCTTATTGTAAAAAAGAGTGGACAAATGGTACAGATGGGGTTTATGTCCACTACAGTAACTTTATTGATTGGATTATGTGCAACCGAGTGGAAAAAGGACATTTAATTGGGGGGGGGGGATTAGATAGGGACAGAGACAGTCCTGTAAAAGTTCACCCTCTTTGAATTCTATGATTCTATGTATCAGGACATAATAAAAATCATCTGATCCTTAGCAGGTCTGAAAATTAGGTAAATACAACCTCAGATGAACAAAATCATGTGACATATTACATGGTGTCATGCTTCATTTTACAAAAATAAAGCCATAATGGAGAAGCCATGTGTTAAAAACTAAGTGCACCCATGCTTAGGAATTAAGAGGCTAAGTAGCAACCAGGTGCTGCTAACCAAATGCCATTGAGTAATTGATCCTCAGCAAGTGTGACTACTGTCATGAGGTCAGCTGAAGATCCAGAACATGAGGGGTTAACTATAGCTGAGGAGAATGCTGAGCGATTAGAAGCACAGTCAGCTGAATCGCCACCAGATTCTCCTCCCCCAGTAGCCAAGGTAAGGGCCAGATTTTGACAAAGACTTATGATGCAAAGGTCAGGGGATTGCCTGAATGCTGCCCGCAGAAACATCATATCAGCTAGCCCTATTGACAGAATGAAAGGCTTCCAGGAGTTCAGTGACTGTTTTACTATATAATCAGCTCCCAGGTGGCTGGGAAGCTCGTGGAAACAAGTCAATTCATCTGGCTCACATCCATGCTCCTGCTTATCCTGGACCCTGTCCTCTGGACCCCTTGGGCTTTGGACTCTGACTTCTGACTACAGTTTGTGTTTTGGCTCTGGCATTTTGGTATCTGCTTTGCATCTGGTGGACTTCTGACATTGGACTGGTTTATTAGACTCTTGCCTGTTAAAACCCCTGGGAATGTGACACCATCTCTATAAAAGCTGGAGTTTTAACAGTTTTATGGTGTGAAGCATTTCAGAGGAAACACCTCAGCAATGATTATAGTGAAGCAAGTGTTGCTGCCCATCAATCTGGGAAGGGTTATAAGGCCATTTCCAAACCATTTAAAGTCCATATTCTACAGTGAGGAAGAATATTCATAAATGGAAAACAAATTGGTAAAAATGTTGTTTAATCATAATAAACGAGAACAAGAAAAGTTTGTTGTTAAATATGATTTATGATTTGTAAAAAGGTTAAAATAGATTTAGTAAAAGATACTAAAAAATAAAGGAACATAATTATAATAAATTAAAAGGGGATATTAAAAAGAAACTACAGGAATATACTAACTTAAAAGTTTCTTGGTTTGGAAAGATTGCACTGATAAAAATGAAGATTCTACCAAAATTTTATTTTTCATTTAGAATGTTACCAGTAAAGTTAACAGAAGATTATTTTAAATTTTGGCAAGGAATGATTAATAAATACTGTAATGAAGGGAAGAGAGCCAGAATAAATAAAAAGTATTGGTATAAAACAACAAAAAAGGAGGTATAGGCATACCAAATATATATATATATAAAAAATTTGGCTAATCAGTTGAGGTTCATTTGGGAAATTATATATTAGATTAAAAGACTAGTTGTATAAAAAGAGATCGAAAGATCAAAAGAAACAAATCCTTCAAAATAAGAATATATCTTGGTTGAATTATATGCAATTAGAAAGATGGACTAATGAATGGGTAAGGAAGTATAAGAGTATATACCAAATATGAACAGTTTCTATTATTATATGAAGATATTCAAATGACTGCACCTCTCCAGCCCTCTCATAGGCTCATGCAAATCAGCTCATTACTATGAATGGCATTAGTGACGTGGGGCAATCGTCTCAGCCATGTTTGGTGAAAACCAAACATGGCATATCAGCACAAACAACTCATACCAACTGTCAAGCACAATGGTGGAGGGATGATGCTTCAGGCTTCTTTTGCAGCCATAAGACTTGGGCACCTTGCAGCCATTGAGTTGACCATGAATTCCTCTGTATATCAAAGTATTCTAAAGTCAAATGTTACACCATCTGCCCGAAAGCTAAAGCTTGGACTAAATTGGGTCATGCAACAGGACAGTTATCCCAGGCGCATCAGCAAGTCTACAACAGAATGGCTGAAAAAGAAAAGAATCAAGGTGTTGCAATAGCCCAGTCAAAGTGAATACCCCAAGCCAATTGAAATTCTGTGCCAGGAGGTTCAGAGAGCTGTCCATAAACAAATGCTTGCAAACCTCAATGAACTGACACAACATTGTAAATAAGAGTGGGCACAAATTCCTCACAATGATGTGAAAGACTAATAAAGTCATACAGAAAATGATTCCTTCAAATTATTGCTGCTAAGGGTAGTTGTACAAGCTCTTGATCATAAGATGTACTTAGTTTCATGTAGGGTTGCCAGACGTCCGGCAAAAGGAGGACATGTCCCACTTTTGCGGAGCATGTCCTCCGTCCGGCAGGCAAAACTAGAAAACTTGAAAATGTCTGGCTTTTGTATCTCCACCCCTCCCCTCCCCACCCCTGCAGCCCAACCTCTCCCTGCTGCTTCCTTGATTGCCGCACTTGTAAATCCTCCAGTTCTTTCAGAGAGATCGGGAGATAAGGTGGCTTGATTGTTTAGGGCTGCAGCCCCGGGCAATCAATCCCCGGCTTGTGGATGGCTGCTTCTGCCTGGGAGCTGAATAAGGCAGGAAGGTGCCAGAGAGATGGATGGATGGATGGAAACCTGGACAGGAGTGAAGTGAGTGCACTTGCTTGCCTGCTGGAGGGGAAGCTGGTCTGGGATTTGGGGTGGTGGTGGTTCAAAGCCAGGGAAATAGGGGTCGGGCAGGTCCCTCCTTCCTCATAAAGCCGGGAAACAGGAGGCACTTTTATCAATCACCCCTTCTGCCCTGACCTCAACCCAACTCTGGGGCATGTGCAGAGTGCGTTTCCAGGTCCAGGAGCATATGCAGAGTTATCCCCTATGCTTGTGGGAGCTAGAACACACACATATGTACACACACACACACACACACACACACACACAGATTTCTCTCAGCTTGAGAAATTGCAAAAGGTGGAGAAAATGGCTTTGTGTGTGTGTTTGTGTGTCGGCAAATCCATTTTCTCCACCCTTTGCATTTCTCAAACTGAGAAAAATCCACACCTTCTGTTTTTTTCTGGTTTTTATGAAGTGTTTCAAATCTGTCACACAACTTTTTAAACTTTTTATTTCATTTTTATTAAAATTTAAAAAATCAATAAGTAAAACAAGGTGGATGGGTCTCCATTAAAGAAAGGAATAGATTGTCTCCATTGGTCCTGGGAGCCCAGTAAGTGTATATGTAGATTTGTTTTGTTTTTATTTTTTAAACATTTTTTAAAATACGAAAACACAGTGGCCAGTTGATTCTGAGTTTTGTAGCCCAATACCTAATTCCAAGAGTGACATGCCCCCACCCCACCCTGTGCACAGAGCCCACCACCCTAACGTGTCCTCCTTTGTCCTCCATTTTGGCTTTTGTGTCCTCCTTTTCATACAGATGTATCTGACAACCCTAGTTTCATGTGCTGTTGTTCATACGAGGTTGTATTTACTAATGTGCAGCCCTGCTAAGGACCTGATGATTTTTATTATGTCCTGATATGTAAAATCATAAAATTCAAAGAGGGTGTCCTTTCATTTTCACATGGCTGTAGATAGTTATCTGGGTTTGTGGCTAAAAGACTGGTGACAACAGTTCAAGTAATGACACAGAGGATCTTTCTACTGGTGGCATGGCACCTTTGGCAAGCCCACCTCAGACAGATTCACTTGATTGATATCGATTTTTTGTAATGCCTGGCAAAGAGCTTTTTATTCTCCCGGGAATTTTAATAATTATTTTAATGCTTTTAGATCTATTTCCTAAATAGAATTCTAGTTTTGGTTTTAGTTTGGATTTTGCTTCTGGTTTACCAAAGTTGTACTATGTACTATACTTTCTTGCTCTATATTTTGGATTATATTTTACTTTATATTATTTTATCTTCTGCTATTTTGTTTGATTGTGATTTTGTGTCATATTTTTCATGTATTTGTATGCAACCTAGGAAAGTTTGCGTATTGGGTAGTCTAAAAATCTAAATTTAAATTAAATATTCTGGTTTTTTTATGCTCCTGAGGCAATATCCCTATGCCACATTTCTTTGAAATGAAACTGTCGCAAAATGCTATAACTGGAGTCCTAAAGCTGGCTGTGTATTTCAAAAACAAAATTATTATTCAATTGAACTTAAAAGTGGTTGGACCAGATTGTCTTCAGCAACTAATCAGACTAAATATCATGCATTCTTTTTCAGTCTTGGCAGCTGCTGTGTTTGCTTTCCGAGCAGTCAATCTAATGGAGGTGACATCACTGGCTGCAGCTGAGGTAAGGATACGTTTCAGTTGGGGAATATGGAAATAGTTTTTCACATATTGCCAATCACAGTAATTTAAGCTTCATATGTACATAATATGTAATGTGATGTTCTTTGCTGGAATACTTACCATGGCTAAAATATTATAGAATGTTATGAAAATACATGGATAAATTCATGAAATGCCTTTTACATCAGAAAAGAATTATTTAAAAACCAAATTACAGACAAGGGGCAAAATCCTGTTGGTGTCGTTAAGCTGGCGAAACTGGACCTAGGTTCCAAAAATAAGCAATTAAAATTAATTGAAAGCTTCCTGGGTCCCCCCCCCCCCGAATTTCCTAGGTCTCTCTTTTGCTCTGGGGAAGCCTTTCAGAAGATGTGGAAAGGGCATTTTAATGCCCCCAAATTATTACCAGATTGCCACCAGCAGTACTGATCCTAGTAGCAGCAATACTCTGGTGAGTTTTTTTTACTAAGAAGCTTTCAGTTTGTATAAATTGGTTATTTCCAGATCCAGGTTACATTGGCATGACTACGCCAATTGGATTTTGTCCACTATACTAAGGTTATCATGAGGTTAGTTTTGGGTTTATTTGGTTTTTGTTTTTGCATTCCTTATGCTGCTGCTGCTTCCAACTCTTCTTTACCACTTCTGCCTCTTCTTCATTGCTTGCTCTTTACTTCTCAAGATGATCATATCCTGCTTGGAGAAGCACCAATGATGAGGCTGGATAACTGAGACTGGCCCTTTTTATACCCTCCAGACTGAGCTCTGCCTGCTAGCTGACCTGATTGGTCAGCTTTGAAAGTATGGAAAGTTTCTCCTTCCACACTAAGCATGCTCTGGAATGAAGAAGGCAAGTCCCAGCATAGTAGCTGCCATGCTGCCCCAGCCCTCCAGAGCCTAACAACAATAAAAACATATCCCATTAAGTCAGAGACCACCACTTCCCTTTGGCATGTGCACTGATGTTATTATATGGACTGTAATATTGATTATGTGGACTAAAATTTTAGAATATATGCAATATATGTTCTGTTGATTTTGTAAGTATGTCACATCCCAAATTCAGTTGTTGAATGTTTAAATCCAGCATTTACATGGCCGCTGGGTCAGCTCTACATCTCCTTTTTCCCAACAACAGTGGATGCCATTTCGTCCAGCGCTGTCTGGAGGCCGTATTACATCCAGCATTTACATGGCCGCTGGGTCAGCTCTACATCTCCTTTTTCCCAACAACAGTGGATGCCATTTTGTCCAGTGCTGTCTGGAGGCCGTATTACAACGGATGCCGGTGAATAGTCTGAGGCTGAACCCAGACAAGATGGAGATCCTGAGGGTGGGTGGCCCCACCATTTGGGGTTTGGGAAACTCCCTCTCTTTTGGGGGGTTACTCTCACCACAAAGAGTGAGGTTTGCAGCTTGGGGGTCCAGCGCTTACCATGAAAACTCAGGTAGCGTTAGTCGTCTGCACCACCTACTTCCATCTTCGGTGGATTGCTCAGCTGTGTTCCTATCTTGATGTTGCGGTGCTCACCACTCCAGTCCATGTGCTTGTAGTCTCGAGATTAGTGTACATGGGGCTACCTTTGAGATTGATACGGAAGCTTTAAATGGTGCAGAATGCGGCGGCCAGACTTCTTACTTGGGTGAGAAAACATCAACATATCTTCCGGCACCTGGAATCCTCGCTGAACGGGTAAGTAACGAAGGTATTGGAACGCATTAAACGAAGTTTAATGCGTTCCAATACCTTTCCCCTACCCGTTTAGCGATGATTCCGTATAGCGAGGGTTAATCCGGAACGGATTAACCTCGCTATACGGGGCACCACTGTATTATTAATTGGATTGTTGTTAGCTGCCCAGAGTAGACTTCAGTCTAGATGGGTGGGGTAGAAAGAAAGAAAGAAAAAGAAAGAAAGAAAGAAAGAAAGAAAGAAAGAAAGAAAGAAAGAAAGAAAGAAAGAAAGAAAGAAAGAAAGAAAGTTTTAGTTCAGTACAGTAGCTCGATACTTCTTTGAATGTATTCATTTGTTTGTTTAAAGTATTTTTGCCTTGCATTTCTCCTTTAAAAGGACCCAAGGTGGCTTACATCATTAAGGGACCATATTTACAGCTAAAAGCAATGAGTTTAAAGAGGCAGCTTACACCATTAGAAGAAGATAGAAAGAAAGAAAGAAAGAAAGTTTTAGTTCAGTACAGTAGCTCGATACTTCTTTGAATGTATTCATTTGTTTGTTTAAAGTATTTTTGCCTTGCATTTCTCCTTTAAAAGGACCCAAGGTGGCTTACATCATTAAGGGACCATATTTACAGCTAAAAGCAATGAGTTTAAAGAGGCAGCTTACACCATTAGAAGAAGATATTAAAGCTAAAAGTCATAAGTACACAAATATTTAAAAGGAACAAACAAATACCACTCTGAGAAATAGAAAACACAAACAATACTAAAAACTCTGTCAAAACAAATTCTGAAAATGATGCCTTGGAGGTCATGGAGCAACATCTTATTTAGTAATTTGACTAATATATATAACTGCTATCCTTTTGGTGCTACCCTTTCAGAGAGAGAGAGGGAGAATTACTATATTGCACCATTGCTATATTTTCCATTGTACCCATTTACCCATTTGTTTAGACCCTCATTCTCTACATTAGTACATGAATGCTGTGTATGAGAGTGGGATCTCTGCTATTTCTCTGAATGTCTCCACACCTTTCTGCTTTTCTCTGGGTCAGTCATATTATCAATAAGGGATATTTTTTCCCTTGAAAATTAAGAACTGGATCATTGAACAAGTCCAACCCATAAACTCTGCTTAGCATTGGTGAGTTAAGCATGTGGTGTGACATTTTGAGCAAAAGTTTACATAAAAACAAAACAAAAACAATAGTGGATCATTTTTGCTGGATTTCTAGCTTCATTTGGTGTTCCTTTCAAGGCATTCCTGCAAGAAGTAGGCACTCCTCCTTTTAAATATGACTAGCCTTTCCCAAGCCTTTGCTTTAATCACTTGTGATACGAGGGCCTTCCTTCCTAACAGATCTGTGTAGCTGGCTTGCATTCCCAAAGCTTTCCTTCCAAACTCACCTTTAAAGAATGTGTATCAAAACTAAGAATAAGTTTCTGATCTGTCCCTAGCCTCAGTAATGCTGGTGCTTTTAAAATGCCTGGTCAGACAAAGTTATATATGACTTTATCCTGGAAAAGGTGCATATCTGGCTTGTATCTCTGCAATCTGGTGTCATGGCTGAGGTATGTAACCTTTCCATATGTCCACCAGGCTGTAAGGTACAGGGCGAAACATGGCTTATATGAGGGAGAGGAAAGTAAGAGATAGCTTTGGTCTGTACAGAAACAGAAGAAGCCTAGTCTAATACAGTATTGTCCACTCTGGGCAGTTTACAACATATAGAACCACATGAGTAAAATACAGTCAACAGAACAAAGAATAATAGTAATAAAATGCAAATAAATAATACAATCAAAGCATAAAAAATACATTAACATAAAACATTCAAAACATTTAAGATGGCAGACCTAATCAGGTAGGCTAGCTAAGCTCAGCTGAGTTCACAGGTATAACATTTTCTAATGCCTGTGTAAATCACCAGGTTTTGGGTTGTTGTTTTTTTAAATCACCAGTGAAGGGGCGAAACAAATTGCAGGGGGGCAATCACCAGGTTTTGGGTTGTTGTTTTTTTTAAATCACCAGTGAAGGGGCCAAACAAATTGCAGGGGGGGAGTTCATTCCATAGCCAAGGAGCAACCACTGAGAAGACCTGGTTTCTTATCTTCTCCCTCCGGGTCTCTTTCCTTGTGGTTTAGCATCTGCAGCCAGCCTGCTTGAGATGTTCTTGTAAGACGGCCAGGTCCTGTTAGAAGTAGGCATTCTGCCAGATAGTGAGGTCCCAAACTTTAGGACTTTATAAATTAAAACCATAACCTTGAAGCTGTCACAGGAATGGACAGGTAACCAGTGTAAAATGACCAGAATTGGGGTGATGAAATGATATTTATTCCCTCAGTAATCTAGCCACCGTGTTCGGGACCTGTTGAAGTTTCCGTGACAGCCTCATGGGCAGCCCCACATGGTTTTGCAATAGTCTGATCCTGAGGTTACCAGTGCCTTGACCAATGTGGTGAGGGAGCTGATGACAAGGTAGGGATGCAGCTGGGCTATCAACCTGAGATGGAAATGGGCAGATTGAACCACAGATGCTATCTAAGTGTCCACAGTGTTGGGTCCAGTAGGACACCCAAACTATAAATCGTCCTTTGCAGAGAGAGTAGCATCCCCCAAAGGAAATGAAGGCACATAATGCTCAGACAGCCGGGGCACCCACATAAAGGACCTCCATACTGTGCAGGTTCAGCCTCAATCTGTTGGCTGCCATCCACTCCAGTATTGCACCCAGACTAAGGGATGGGACGGCATCAATTACAGAAGGGTAGAAGGAGAGATACAGCTATGTCATCACCACATTAGTGACATGCCACTCCAAATCTCTGAATGATCTCCCCCAGCAGCCTTATGTAGGTATTAAACATCAAAAGGGAGATGACCAATGCCTGAGGGACTCCACAATCGAGAGTTTAAGGGGTGGAGACCATCTCCTCAAGCTTCACTCTTTGATGCCAGCCCTCGAGGAAGGATTAGAGCCAGGAAAATGCCATCCTAGCAGTCCCCAATCCCAAGAGTCTCCCGAGGAGAATACCATGGTTGACAATATCAAAGGCCACTGAGAGGTCAAGGACCAGCAGGAACATTTTATCCCTGTTGGCCTCCCTCAGAAGGTCATCATGAAGGGCAACCAATGCCATCTCCATGCCATGACGCATTCTGAACACGGACTGGAATGGGTCGGGGCAACCAATGACATCCAAGAGTGCCTGAAGCTGGTCAGCCACCACCCTCTCCACTAGCTTGCTTTAAAAGGGAACATTGGTGACTGGATGATTGGTGACTGGATGATAGTTCTTACAATCATCGGCTGCCAAGTTCGCTTTTTTCCCAGATGGACCTGATAAGTGTCTCCTTGAGGGTTTGGGAAACCTGACCCTGAAGGAGAGATGCATTAATGATAGAAGTGGTCCATTCCATTCTTATCAACCTGGCAACTTTTAAAATCTAGGTGGGGCAAGGGTCTAGGGAGGTTGTGGTGTCCCTAATCTAGCACATTGTCAACCTCAGATGATAAAACAGGCTGAAATTGATGTAATATAACTGGACAAGCTGGTGCAGTGGATATCTCAATCTGATCTACTGCCAAAGGTGGTGGTCTGTGTCCCAGTAGATGGCCTCCACTTTGTTTTTTAAAAATGCCACAGACTGGTCACAGGTGAGACTGCCACATTGACCAGCCCTGGATAAATTGTGAACAATGAAGAATAATTCCTCTTTATGGTTTTGTGCCTCACTTATCTGGATAGTGAGTATAAAAGGATCTTCAGGCAACTTTCACTGCTGCTGAGTAGGCATTGGTCATGATTTTTGTGACTCATAATTTAAGTACCCTCAAGGCCCACCTCCAAATGCTCTCTAGCCTTTTCCTATTTTGCGTCATTGCACGTATTTCTTGAAAGTACTGTGGGGCAGGATGGACTCGGGAGAGGGAGTTTGGGTGTGATCATGTCAGCTGGCCAGGTGGCTGCAGCATACCATCTAGCAACCTGAGCACCAACTAGATCAGCCAGTGCCGATCCCATCCCATCCTGGAAACCAGTTTGATCCAGTAGCCTGTGAGGGCAGACCATCTTAATGGGTCCCATGTCCCCATGGGGGAGTGGGGAGGGAAGAACCACTGAGAGACTGGATTTTATCAAGTGGTGGTCCAGCCATGACAAGGGGACAGACACCAGGTCAATCACCCTCAGGCCATCCTTTCCCTGCCCTGTTGAAAAAACCAGGTCCAGCCACATGGGTAGGGCTGTTGACAAATTGGGACATGCCTAAGGAAGCCATTGTTTCTGAGAACTCAAAAGCTGGTCCAGAAACCTCAGTCTCAGTGTGGATGTTGAAATCACCCAGAACCAAGAGCCTGGAGGACCTCAAAAGTGCCGCTGAGACAAAGTTCGCCAGCTCTGAAATGGAGAGTGCTGGTTTGTGGGGAGCACAGTAAACCAAGACAATCCCAAATTCGTTCCTTGCCCCCAATGACATTTTGTAATAAAAATGTCCATCTCAGTTTGGGTAAGTGTAAAGCATTATTAAAGTTATTATTTTCTGGGTGCTATCAGAGACATGTAGGATAAAGATTCATAATGTGCAGCTATGTTTAGATACAAGTGAAAATATTAGATCTGCACTCCTGATACTGCATATATAAAAATTCAGCTTACAGTACTTGATTCCAGTAGGGCCTCTCTTTGATGGGAATTAAGCATTGATCAAAATATTATTAATTAGTTTTATAGATTGTTCATGTTTTTCAGGAAAAAAATTGTGTCTCTGGTATAATGTAGTCATTTTTCTCTTTTATTCCAGGCTGTACTCGCTGATCTTTCAACTCTGAAAGTTGTGCCTCTTCTTCAGATTTTTCTATTTGCTACAGGCACTTGATCTTGCTCAGAGCTACTCATTGCATTACTAGGCTTTCATCAGATGCTAAGAATAAACTATGCAACACTTTAATTAAATCAACCTCAAACGTTAATGCTCACACTTTACAAAGGGTTAAACCACCTGGAAATCATCCCAAATGCTATTGCATGTCAACTGCTGCATGCTCCTGAATTTTAGCGAAACTGAAGCTCCTGGATGTAATGCAAGTCAAATACCTTGTTGTCCACTTAAATCATATTACTCAGTGCATGTACAGAAAGTAGTAAAATATACGTAATAATTTGAGATCTGTGTTTCCTCTCTGCCATTGTAAGGTAGGAGAACACATTTTCAGTAGTTATAACCCATTATCCTGTCATACCATCTGTCATCTTCAAAATCTTGCAGTACTTGAATGAAGTATTGAACATTAAAATATATAATTTCATTGGCCAGAGTTCTGTTATTTAACACATGCTGGTGCAATTCTATTCACCTACATTTCATTGGTGAATTGTCAGTTAAGAAATTAGCTCTTGTATTTCTCATCATATAAGAACTGTGTGACCTAGAACAGCGGACTCCAACCTTTTTGGGACCGCAGACCTTTTGGGGGGGGTGGGCTCCATGTGGGGGGGCGGGGGCACCCCTGCTCTCATGGGGGGCATGTTACGCTCATGCGACACACTCCTCCATGAGCATGACACACCCCTCTGAGAGCATGAAATGTCCACCATGCATGTGGGGGGGGGCGGAGATCCGTCGCCGCGGCATCTGAGAGCATGAAATGTCCACCATGCATGGGGGGGGCGGAGATCCGTCACCGCGGCCCAGTTCCAGGAAGCCCACGGACCGGCACTGGGCCACAGACCGGGGGTTGCGGACCCCTGACTTAGAACACAAAAAGAAAAATAAGTGCTGACTTCTTAATTGACATCAATTCACTGCTGAAATTTACACTCTTAGAGTTGCATTAGCATTAGTATGTGATAGTATTCTGACCTTAATGTGTAAGACTTCTATGAAAAGTCATGGAAATACATTTCTGCAACCTTTCTGCATAGGATTGTGAAGAGCTTCTCATGTGCAGTCTTGGCTGGAGGCTGATTTTGAGGAGAATTTTGATGAAATAACAGAGGGGTTATTTACTGTGTTGCACATACTTTGGACTTACGTTGCAGGCTTTTGAAAAACTACAAGAACCTGCAAAATCTGTTTCTTTTGAACATGCACAACGACCGGCAGCAGTGTCCTGTCAAAACACCTCAATTTCTCTAAAAGGAATTTGATCCTGCTTCATTCAGCCCTTAACTTTTTATATTCACACTTCCTTGTGGATTCTTTATAACTACTCAGAAGCTTTATATAGCACTGCTTTTGTATCTGAGCCAAGCCAGTTGCTTGTGAATTACATCAGTAGATCACTCTCCCATAATTTCCACCTCCTTTAGGACCTGAATGTGGTGCCCTGCCAGTTTCTCAGCCCCTCTTCATTCAGAAACATGTGTATCAGCTCCAGGCCTGTGTGATGTGAATGCTGTGTGCTATAGAGATGGATTATCTTTAACTGATAATGAGTTGTTTCTTCCTTTTCTCACATTTAGACGGCAACCTGAATTATATATAGCCATTTTTGTGAAATGTATTATTTATTTCTAAATGTCACTTTTGATCACTTTAAATTTTATTTCTTGAACAGAATGTGTTAATTCTTTTGTTATTAAGCTTCATTTGCATTGACATATTAGCTTAATTTATCAGTCTATTAACGAAAATAAAAATTGTTTTTCCAAGCCTATTGCTGGCTGTAAAATCTATTATTAAATATTGACTGCATCAGCAAAGCATTCTCACTTTTATGTCTTTCTTGGGGGACAAAACCCTTGTTGGAACATCTTTCTCCTTCTCTCCAGCTTTATATGAGAAATAATAGGCCACAGAATCACAGAAGTGTAGATTTATGTAGCAGATGTCATTTTTTCTAAGGATTCTCTTTGAACCCATTATTTCTAGAACTGACATCCAGGTTTGTGGTACATAATGTGAAATCCTGTTGGGAACACAGGTACAAGCAGAAGTACATGATTAAATAAGTCCAAGCTTGTTTCTGATTTGCCTTCCACTTGCTTTTAATATCTGTATGTTGAATTCACAAACATCATGTAGTTCTCATTGCTTCACAGCTCAGCATTGCATATCCTATAGCTGAATGTCTGGCCTACCTCCATAGAAAAGTAATATATTTGAACCAACATAATAGGTTTTATTGGTGAGGCACATTCACATCTGCAAGCCATCACATATAGCAGTATATACGAGAGTAACTCAAATGTTTTCTTACCCTGTTTTATCAATTTGTCTGAGATATCAGTATTGCTATTGTGAAAGAGATCATTTCATGCATTCTTTTACTTTATTTCCTTTGTTGTGTTTACTAGCTGGAATGTCAGCCTTGCTTGGGTTTCAGAGGCCTTCTTCCCATACTTTTGTGCTTTTTCTTCTTCCCTTTGTCTCTGCTATTTGTCTTCCTGACTATTATCTCCTTCCACATACAAAATCCAGTGCTTCTTTAGCATTTCTCCTTTTTTTTCAATCTCTTCCCCCTATATGAAAGGAATTCAATATGGTAATTTTGTAAAGATCCTGTGAAGAGATGACGCTTCCAAGCCTCACTCTAGCTTTCTGTTCAGGCCTTGTATTCAGGAAGATTAGGGACATATTGTGTCTAAAGATGGTAGATAGATAGAGAGAGAGTCTAATTATTGATTCAATTTTCAAAGCAAGTTAACAAAAAAGGCACTTCCCTATAGTCCTCTTAATATTCATGCTAAGCTTAAGGTGTTTGGGCTGCATAGTGAATACTTGTGAAGAAACTGAGAACCCGAGGTGTATGAAATATGAAATTCTGTTGCTGGACTATTCTATGCTTCTCTGAGCCTGGGATGCTGACTTCAAAGGCAGAAGTCAGTGTGAAAATGGAAAGTTCACACTTTTAACTCATCTCCTTCTACCGAACACTTCAAAGGAAGGACTGAGCAAGGGACCAGATGCTTCGAGGCAACATTCCATGTAAACTGCTGTGCCTGGAACCAAATGGGTGGCAGTGCTGGCTGTGGGTGTGCAGCCACACAGTTTAGAGGGAACATTTTGTTGTTGTTTAGTCGTTTAGTCGTGTCCGACTCTTTGTGACCCCATAGACCAGAGCACGCCAAGCCCTCCTGTCTTCCACTGCCTTGAGTTGGGTCAAATTCATGTTGGTAGCCTCGATGACACTGTCCAACCATCTCGTCCTCTGTTGTCCCCTTCTCCTCTTGCCTTCACACTTTCCCCAAATCAGGGTCTTTTCCAGGGAGTCTTCTCATGACATGGCCAAATGATGAGAGCCTCAGCTTCAGGATCTGTCCTTCCAATGAGCACTCAGGGCTGATTTCCTTTAGAATGGATAGGTTTGTTCTCCTTGGAGTCCAGGGGACTCTCAAGAGCCTCCTCCAGCACCACAATTCAAAAGCATCAATTCTTCAGTGGTCAGGTTTCTTTATGGTCCAGCCCTCACTTCCATACATCACTACCGGAAAAACCATAGTTCTGACTATGCGTACTTTTGTTGGCAGGGTGATGTCTCTGCTTTTTAAGTTGCTGTCGAGGTTTGTCATCGCTTTCCTCCCAAGAAGCAGGTGTCTTTTAATTTTGTGGCTTTTGTCAACATCTGCAGTGATCATGGAGCCCAAGAAAGTAAAATCTGTCACTGCCTCCATATCTTCTCCTTCTATTTGCCAGGAGGTGATGGGACCAGTGGCCATGATCTTGGTTTTTTTTAAATGTTGAGCTTCAGACCATTTTTTGCACTCTCCTCTTTCACCCTCATTAAGAGGATCTAAGCGTTGACTTCGAGCACATTCTTCTGACTCTGAGAACTCTAGAGAAGCCCGGACACGCCACCACCATCAGCGTTGATGGAATTACAGTTCTTTGGATTCCTCCTCGACCTCGACTGATCGAGTTTGACGGTGCAAGAAGATAAAATATATGTATGTATCTTCTTCAGACTCTTCTAGGCCTTGTCGACATCGACACCGTAAACGCATCGACGTCGAAGGCTCCAAGACCCAGATACCACCACTTGCAGTACCCGTTCCTTCGACATCGACCTTGCCTATGTCTTCTCAGCAAACTCAATCCTCCTATCTCGGAATCAAAAGCCAGGGTCGCAAGAGGAAAAGGGATGTTTTTTCTTCAGATCCCGACAAAGTCTCATCTGTAGCTTCCTCAGATTCTGAACAGGAAACTCCTCCCCAACCTTGCCAAGGCGAATTACCGGAGGGTGAAGTTGTGGGTTCGGACACCGGGGACCCCCATGCCACTTCGCCTTCAGAGGATTTTTCTTCTTATTCACAGATGCTCTCTAGGTTGGCGAGAGCCCTTAAACTTGACACTGACCAGCTGGCACCACCCGCTGAAGATCTTATCTTTGGGGATATAAACCAGGAGAGATCACCCCCTCCAAGACTTACATTTGTACCAGTTATTATGGACATAATTAAGGAGTTTTGGGATCAGCTGTCTTCTTCCTCCTTGTCTTGCCGTACCGAGAATCTTTATTGTGTGCATGGCACTGACACGAATTTTCTTCTGAAGCATCCCATTCCTAATTCTCTTATACTAGAGACTAGCTGCACTAAGCCTACTGGTAAATCTCATGTCACTCCTACCAATAAGGAGGGAAAGAAACTAGAGATCATAGGAAGGAGAATTTACTCTCTGATTTCGTTTCTTCTCAGACTCATTAACTACCAGACTGCTTTAGGGGCATACCAGAAGCAACTTTGGTTAAAAATTCTTCCTGCGCTTAAGATGACCCCTGAAGACATTCGCCTGGGGTTCATGAACTCTTATGGGGAAGCCCAGACGGTATCCAAGCATCAAAGAGTCTCAACTAGGCATGCAGCAGAGGCCGCTGTCAGAGTTCTTATGTCTGCTGTCACTATACGTAGGCACATGTGGCTAAGATCTGCCAACATCCTAGGTGATGCCAGGACTAAGGTGGAGAGCCTACCCTTTTGATGCTACAGGACTATTTAGTGAAAAGACTGACAATCATTTAGAGGAATTACATAAGGCTAAAAAGACAGCAAAATCCTACTCTATCCAACCTTAACCTAGATACAACAAATATCAGTGGAGAAAGTCTTATTCTCAGTACCAGCAATCCTAGCAACAGTACAGACCATTCAAAAGCTTACCTCAACAAAGACCTTCACAAGCTTTTTCCCCCACTCCCAGCGATCGTCCTCAGCAGTCACAGTGTCGGCATTCTTACAAGCCGCCTGCCAAAAAATCCAAACAGTATCTTTGACTCTGCCATGGACATAACCGGAAATTACATCACTACATGGCTACAACCATTTCTAGCAAACTGGGCCACCATCACAAACGACTCACGGGCATTAAAAATCATCCAATTCGGCTGCCGACTGGAATTTATAGAATTTCCTCCCTTAAGGTTCATAAGTCACACATCTTTCGACCCCGCTCTAGAAGAAGAAGTGCTATCGCTTCTGGAAAACGATGCCATTCAACCTGTCCCAATCATAGAGCTAAAAAATTTTCACAATAAAAGATTTTCACTGAACGAATTAAAATTGTCTTGCGAGGCACCACTGTACATGTTCTTCAGTGTTGAGAACTTTGTCACAGTAAGTGATTTTCACATCTCCCATATTTTACAAACCAGTTTGCCTTGTTTTCTGATTCGTCTGTGGATGTAAACATGG